CCCCCCCCATTCCATCTTTGAGAGAACTTGTAACGAAGGGAGCCAATGGCGACAAAGGATAAAGTGCAAAAGACTGTCCTTGATCCCCCTATTACTTTTCTTAAAATGTATGCAAGTCTTGGATGTTATTCGTGAGTGTTCAGAAGCAAGTACTCTTCGGAGTCATCAGCAGTTCAATGAATAGCTGTGTGATAGAGTCAACTGCTGGGGAGAAAATTTTCTTACCAGGGAGCATCTTCCTCTGACACTTGTGCCTCTGTGTGGTCATGATTTGTGTTCCTCCTTTTCTACGTTTTCCCCCTCTCAGAGGAGCCCCTTAGTTGAGAGCACCTGATGACAGCTGATGCTCCATCTGTTTATATCTATTTGCATGGTCTCCAGCCTGTGTCTCTATTTTTATTTATTTATTTAAGGCTGAGTGTTTGCATTTCAAATGCCTATTGTAAAAAAACATGCCTCACAACTACATTCAATGGTAGTTGATGTTCATGGTATTCTTTCCTCTCCCACATATGTATTAAATATACACTTTGTCCTCTAAGTTCTTATGAGGTTCACAAGCCAGAAAATCTAGAATTAAAAAGATACTTTCTAACAATGTATTTATTTCCAAGGTTGGAAAAAAATACTTTAATTTGGGAAGTCTTCCACAGCAAGACACGCTGTATGTAAATTTGTTCTCGCCAGCCAGTATGGAAACGAGGATTCCTTGTAGTGTATATTATATATTATCCTTAGAAACTTTTCTCACCTGTGTATTTTCTTTACTATCTTCTGCTATGCTCTGTCAACCAAAGAGTTTAAAAAAAAAAGATGCAGTTTATGGAAAGTATATATTAATAAGAGGAATAATAATACTGGACTTTGAGTTGTGATAAAGTCTCTTACTCCTTGCTCTATTTTATTTTACAGATATGGCCTCTGAATGACTTTGGGTTTCTACGTGCAAGCCCTAATGGCCAAAGATTTCTTGATGATTAAAATAATTACTGGGTGTTGCCAGCTTTCTTACTACTTTCTACTAAATCAATGGAACTATTTTTGCTTAGAATAAAAACAAGTACTATCTGACAGAGATCATCTTTTTTTTCCCAAGATTACATCTAATTTAAAAGTTGAAATGATATACTGCCATCATCATCACCATGAAACATGGTATGTCTCTATTCTTTTTCCTCTGGCTATTCACAGTAAGTGCTTGTATTTATTAGAAAGTTTTGATTCTTACTACAAGACAAGGTTACAAGGTTACATTGACTGTTAACACAGGATGAAGGAGATGCAATGCAGAGTTACACTGCTGCATGTCTAGAGCCACATATAGACAACACCTGCATTAGTAAATAGTCTGGCATACTAGTATTGGAACTGAGAAGAGTAACAGTCACGCTCAGGATCTTACATGTATTTTGTAGTTTTTCCCCTCAAACTAGCTCTAGTTTGGCCTTGGGGACTGCATGCCTGTTAGGGGTGAGAGTGGATCTTCCTGCTTAGTTTTCATCTAAGGAATCAAGATTGCCTTTGTTCAGGTGATAGTGGTACAGTCAGAATATCCAATTCAAAAGCATGCTCCTGCTGCAAGCTAAAAGATTAATGCAGCTACAGTCCAGTGCACAGAGACGATACATACTACTTGGTACTGAGAGCCAGCCTCCTAGCTCTGTGGTTCTCTGCCACCTCTTTCCAAGACTGAAATCTTTCTGAGGGTTCAGTGTAGAATAGGTTAAATATTTAGCATAGAAATCAAAAATGATCCTGTTTCACACTTATGTGCCTTACTCTTCATTATCTTCAAAGCATTTTCACATGTATGATTTCTGATTAAATTTTGTTCTCTGAGGCATTAAAAGGATTTAACTTAGGAGGCAGTACCCAAGCTGTAGCTGATACAGACTGTAATTGAAAGTAGTACTCTGTTCTTACCTGAGAGAGAAGTGTCATTTACAGCCGAAGATACATTCCAGTTGTACAGAACTTGGTGTTCAGTGCTGGAGTTTTTGTTTTTTTTTTTTAGTAAATAGCTCTTTAATAAAGGAAGAAAACACAAGCTTCATTTCTGCAGAACTACATTAGCAATTATGTATATTTCCTCTTTCAAGCCTGACTGAACTTGTTCCAATGCAGTGCCCTCTTCCTTAATATATTTCTTAGCAGATGCTGTCCAGTGCTTGTCTAAAGTTTTTAAAAAGTTTTTAACAGTTAATATGCTTGGTTGAAACAATCATTGAAGGATCTCTACAACAAGTGAACATGTGTCACAACAAAGCAAAGACACCTCTTTGGTTTCAGCCTTGGAGACAGTGTAATTCCCACCACATCGGCATGAAAGAGTATAACATTGTTCACCTGCCACAAAAGAAAAACAAAAAAAAACATTTAGTGCTTGAAAAGAAACCCAAGAAATTATTTTATTCTTCACAAAGCTGCTGTTACATAATTTGCATGTACGACCTCTCGTTGTATTGTGAATATCAGTACCTATGCTATCGTTTGTTGCTCAAGAAATAACTTACTCTTAAAGTAAGTGTATTTTAGTGACTGAGAAGTTCTTAGGCCAAGCAACTGGGGTGGGTGTAGTCTTTTTTTAAAAGAGCAAATACTAAGAAGGTGCTTATCAGTGAATCAGCCATATGTTAAAAGGACTAAGCCACTGAATATTTCTGAATGAGACTTGATTCTGACAAAGTACCAAGCACTTTAAAGAGATCAGGAAAGCAATTAAGAACAAAATAAGGGGGGTTAGTCATACAGATGTCAGATCACAGATGGTTCTAAAATAGGCTAACACGGGAAGAAGCATAAAACAGAAGAAAGGAAAGAAGTGAGGTTCTCACCACCAAGCTTGGGAAAAAAGAAAAAGAAAGAAATCAGAAACAGCCATCCAAGAAGCATGTCAAATGATAAAAGCTAGAGTAAAATAGAGGAAACAGAGGAAAAAAGTAAAACACTGTTAGAAGGGAAAATATATAAGAGAACACTTGTACCCAACCCATCACAGAATGCACAATAAGATACACGACAGAATCCAGTAATTGAAAAAATCAGTTATGCTAGAAGAAGATAGCTAGGTTAAAAAAATGGTCCTGCATGCTCTCAATATCCAAGAAGAAAAAAAGGAGGTGAAGAATGAATGCACAATAAAAGCACAGAAAGTTGAGTGCCAATTCCAACTGCCCAGTGCTAGAGAAAGACTGCAGTAGACTTTCAGAAGATGGGATTGACAGGAACTAACAGAGAAATGGAAAAATAGCAGGCAATAACAGACAACAGAACAGATAAATAAGAGGAAAATATATTAAAAAAAAAGTGAAGGAGAGGGAACTAATTTGAGAGAGAAAGTTAAAAATAGAACACAAAAACACATCACTAACACAACACAAAGGTATAAGATGCAGGAAAAAAAAATGAAAACATTTCTAATGACAACGAAAGGCACTGAGAACAGGAAGTGAGATATTCATACCTTCATTCCAGGACATATCCTCAAGATAAATTTGTGCATGCAGTGGCCATTCTTTTGTCAGATTATCTTCTACAAAGAAAACAGTGACAAATGTTCAACTCTAATAACATACAAGTAAGTCCATATTTCTTCTTTGTAAATTAATGGTTTTGTATACCTAGCCAGGTATACAATTAATGGTTTGTATACTATACTCCAGTCAGTTTGGTCCCGACTGGAGAGTCCTACCTAGCCAATGTAACCATTAAAAATGCAGTTCTCTAAAACTGTAGCTTCCATATCTCTGCATTTACCTGGGGATGTCTCTCTGTACTAAGAAGGAAAAGTAAATGCTGAAGATGTGTAAGAAAGACATCACTGATGAAATCCCTTCTTTTGCTGATCCAAAAAATTGACAGAGAAATTAGGGGCAAACTTTTGTTTTGAAATAAAAGACCTATAAAAAGCCTAGCTGCAGCTATACATCTACAAGCTGAAACTGTGAGCCTCTGCCTACCTGTACTTTGAAAGGAGACACCAAATAAGAACCCTTGTGTAAGCACCAAATACATGTTAGAAGAGTTGGCTGTGAGAAGAACACTAGGATTTCTGCACTGACAAAAGATAACTCAAAAAACAGTTTTAGAGTAGGAAGGAGTCTCTCAAAGTAGAATGAAATCTGTTGCCATATGATATTCTGTGTTCTTTCAACATGAACTGAACTACAATATGAAGTTAAATGTAAAGTGCGCAATAAAATTGAAAGCACCATTTTGGAAAAGCAAATATCCTGGGCGTTTGTAATTTATCAGGATTCTCACATTTGATTGGTACACAGTTCGCACAAAGTTAAATTGACAGTCTAAGACTTTGCTCAACAAAATTGCAAATGAAGCAATAAAAGGTAACATCCTAAAAAGGACACAGAAACCTTATAATTTATTATACAAAACCTTCCAGCTGCTGCCTGACATGCGGGAGCTCCAACTCAACACACAGTGTAGCTCTTTAAACTAAAGAACTAGAAGCGCCTGAAAGCTGATCTTTTTTTCTGTGCACACATGCACAGAAATGTCTTAGATTTCCTCAAGACTCAGTAGCTTAGTCCTTATTTCAGGTTTAAACCAGGTTGTTATCAAGAAAGTAGGTGTTCCTTCACTTGGATCAGTGAGTTTTCAGTGAGTATTCTAGTTTAATAACATCAAGCTTCCTACAAAATGTAGTGTTGTATATTGCTTTCTATGAAATGAAAGATGACAGTGAAGGAATTTCTTATTCTAGAACTGCGTATTGAGCACTTGAAGAAAAAGTCAGAGGCCTCAAGTACTTAAAATAATTTTAAAATCTAACTCCCAAGAAATTGCTCCAATTGCTAGATTGTATGGTATTCTGGATGTATTACCGGATTCTCCCATGTAAACTGTTCTTCACTCCAGACAGGAGAAAGAAGGGTGTTTCACAGCTACCTCCTCTAGCTATGATCTGAGAGCTTGGATGCTCTATACAATGTTATTCCAGGTGAGAAAATTCTCCCCTTTCCATGGAAGTTATAGCCCCATGGAAAGTAATTCCCTGGAACGAAACGGACGCAAGACAGGGATCACAATTCTGTAGTCTAATGATGAGGGTGCAGTTCCTGTTCCAAAACTGAATCTGGATTTTGTTAAGTGGTCATTTAAGGTAAAATAAAATAATCCAGGGAGGAGAGATCATATTTTGTTGACTACATTACAGAGAGATATGATGCTAACTAAAATGCAGGAGTCTAAGGTACTTAGGAATGCAGTATATATGGAATTCTAATCATTTATCATTTGAAATTCAACATTTTGTAAAGCTTTTAGAAACGAAATATTGTGTAATATTGCTGTAACTGAATGGTAGTTAACATTCTAATTTGGGAGATTCTGATCATAACTTGAAGCCCCAGCAGGTGATGGTCTGTGATTCTGAGCAGTCTGTAGTTATTTGAATCCATTTTCCCTTGTGTTTCTGTAAGACATAGTTATTTATAAGCATTCCAGTAAAACCCGAGAAAAACAGCATGTTTCCAACCTTTATTCTGATCAGATAACGGACTCTTTCCTCCGTTATCACCAAATACCATCATCTGATTGCAACCACCTCACTCTTCAGAACTTGCTAACGCATTGTAAAAAATGCAATAGTGATTTAGATGGATACAGAGCAATATTTTATTAGCTGATTTAACAAATTAACTATATAAAGCAAGCTGTTCACAAATAAGATTCCTAAACTTACAACAAAGTAATATAAGTTGTTACAAAGAACTTTAAGGCTACTGTGACAGTATAACCCTAGCAATAGGTATGGTTAGTCATCTACATTAATTTTTACCTCTAACCTGGTTTTTTAATTGTTTTCCTTTCATAGATCTATTAGTTTTAAGAGCATGTTATAATAGGAGTATTAATGTAATGTACCAGTAGTGAAATGAACCACTATATGTTTTAATTGTCCTTATATATCAGTGGAAACAAAATCTAGTTAATACTTGCATTTTATATTTTTTTCTAAATTGGAAATTTATATCCAAATTTAAAAATCATTCCAAGCTTTATTTTGTAACTAAATTACTATTCTAATTTTAACCGAAATGTATATTATAGATCCTTGGGAATGAGCTTCACCTAAATTAGTTTTATTGAAGAAGATTAAAACAAATCAGACACATTGGAAATAATGAGAGGATCAATACAGCCTCTTTTTACGTTTTGCTGAACACCTATTCTGTGGTAAAAAGGTCAGGATTAAAAGAAAATTAACCCACTCACACCTAATACTTATTGCCATCAAAGAAAGGGGGGGGGGCGCAGCAAGAGAGTAATGATGAAAGAAAACTGGAAGACAGACCTATCAATCATCCATTCTTATTGTTGTTCCTGCTCTCAATTACATAAACAGAGCTACGAGTAGTGTTTTAGTTATACAAAGTGACAACATCATTTTTCTTTACACCTCACCAGAACACTGGTTAACTGCATGAAATGTCCGAATTAAAATAAACGGTTAGATGGTCTTAACTTATGCCAAACATATTCTAACGTTACTTGAAATTAGCGTGGTTTTTAGCCACAAAACATTATAACAGGAACTGTGAACGCCCTGAAAGCACCCACAGAAACAGTCAGAGGCCTTTCCTCCAGCAGGCCTTATGTGAAGTAAAGATTCCTCCTCCTCTTTTGTGAGAAGAAAAAAAGCAGAGATCAAATTGCTGAAGTCTACCTTCAGGTTTTTTTTCTGCACTGCAGTGGGAGAAAACAACTCCCACTGGGAGACTGGGAGAACAGTGTGGAAAACACAAGCTCTTCCTATTTTGCTGAGTTTTTGAATACAAGGAGGAAAAAATTGCAAAAGAAAATAGTTGTAGGAAGAACAGCTGTTTCTTAGCTTCATTTAAAAGTAGCAAAAAATTGAATTAAAAAGAAATCAAATCAGGCTTTCCTATTTCAAATTCATGATGCAGGATTTCAGTCAGAACAAATTTTGCAGGATTGGAGGTGGAGGTCTGGGTCACGTCTTGCTGGTAGAAAATATAAGAAGGGCAGATGGACCGTATGGTGCCCCAAAGAGCAGTGGTGAGATACAAATTCACAAGGTTACCATACTTCTTAAAGTAAAGTTACTGGCAAAGTAATGAAGGCGGCGGCTGAGGCACTACCACCTCTCATATTGCAAATATAGTACAGGATGAACAGAATTTCAGCCAAGCTTTTCTAATTCGTTACTGCAGTTGTAATTAAAGAGCTCAATAGGCAAAGTTCATCTTCCATACAATTCCCAGTCTGGACAGATCATTCCTAGTCTGATGCTCAGTCCTGAAACAGTTTATTAGTTATCTTAAAGATGTTAATTTTAAATTAATACATTCTCTTCCTGAATAAGTCTCCAAGCATAACACATAATCCAGTAGCCACACTATCACTCACAATTTTGCATGCTGCAATTATTTGCTTGTCTGCATCAAGCAGAAGAAACCCATTTTCCAGAGCTGAACAAAGCTAGTTTAACTTTCTAGCTTTCTTATTCAATACACTATCCAATCTAAAAAGCCTTAAAGACCGCACAAATAGATTTGGCCAATTATCTGAACAGAAGCAGAGCCTAATATGAATTTGGGGAACTTACAAGCTCTCCCTCGTTATTTCATCTACGTCATTATTATCATGCATCTTAGAGCCTGAAGCGAACTAGTGCCCGATTTTTATTCCCTTGAAGGAGGAAAAGGTTATTTGAGATTGGTGTTGTTACCAATGATGAGCTGTTTCGTGTGCTTACGTCAACGTGACGTGAGCTCAATATGTAGAGCTCTGTGTAGAATTGTACTTTCTGAAACATGTCCCTGGACAGATACAGAAAATCATGAAGATCCGATTAGCTATCATAACTTGAAAAAACAAATTTGAATTCACAAGTAGTATAGGCTGCCTGGCCTTGCAATCTATTGGATTTGTCTGACAACAAGAGGTGAAAGGATTCTGCAGCTCTATTGTCTCAACTGCAGGATCTAAGAAAACACTGGCAGGCTCATCAGAGAGGTTTATGAGCCTGCAATTCAAAGAGATTAAAAGGAAAAAATCTACTGAGATTCTTTCAGGCTACAGAACAACATTAAATAACTATTAGCAGCTTGGTTCAGTAAAGCTTTACTAGAGCTCTTGCTGGGTCATTCAGAAATTATAAAAGAGGAAAGGTATTTAAGTTTCACTTGAGGATACAATAAATATTTCTTGGGCTCTTTAGGGCTGAGTTTTAAGCAGGGAAATTTAACCCTTTTAACAGTTATGATAATAGTAAAAATAGTCATAATACTTAAAAAGATTTTTCTAGCTCTTTATCTCATTCTTGGAAGGATTGGATTTTTTTTTTTTTTTAAACACAAGTCATTAACCAAAAAAAGTTCAAGATACGCATTGCCAGACCAAATACGGTTCATAGCATCTACTCAGTCTCAAAATGATTACACAAAATCAGTTATCACAGTACTCAAAATCTGAATATTTTCAGAAGTTTTTTTTCCTCAATAAGCTATTTTTTAAACAAATACTTAAGTTTCTTGAATCTCTTAC